AGAAAGATCGGTGAGTTTTAAACGAAGACTTAATATTACGTCTAATAAAAAGTTCGTTACCAACCTCGATGTTTCAGATAACAATTTCTTCCTGGTTTAATTTAAGTGTCTTCCGCGTTCTTTGCGGGCTAAAGGATTTTTAGTCAGTTCGAAGTAAAATAGCAACCAGGATTCGTAGAGAGACAATAAGCTTTTATTGACAGCGCACAACAACAACCAGTCGCGAGTGCTCGGGCACAAATGCTGACAAGAATAGAGAGACACACAGAGTTAAAGAACCGCGGTCAGCTTTGCTGACTGAGGAAACAATACACACACACATGTTCCAGAATGAGGACAGCGATGCTTCTATTGCTGGCCTCGAAACTCAAGCGAATACAAAGGCAAGTATACAAGTTTGGTAAAGCTCCTTTTTTGGGTGGAAATGAAACACACGGAAATATTCGGGAGCCTGCTTGTAGCAGGCTCCCAAAATACTTTGGGATCACAACACAGCTAACATCTCTTATCCAGGAAATTTGGCTATCCCTCAATGACCAGCAATTTTATTTGAATAAGGGTGTAGATAATTATATGACACAAAGATTGAATATCTTAACGAATCCCTGGGAATCGTGGGGAGGGGGCAGCGTTCATGAGGGGTCTCCTGGGTGTAATTTTTGTGGCCAAATTTTTTCGGATGATTTTGAAACTAGGCTCAATTACTCCCTATTCCGTATACAGTGCTATGCTCAAATGTTTTGATTAAGTACCTGATACGCCAGCACCTGATCACAGAAAACCTGTCTACGGGTTTTCTGTGATCAGGTGCTGGAGTATCTTCCATTTTCTGACTGGGAAGCTTTTTTTTAGTGAGTTTCCACATACAAATGGCAGAATTTTGAAAGGAAAGACCATCCTGCATTTTGCGCGCTTCTCCTTTGGGAGAGGCCACTGCAGTGGCTAATTCCCTCCAGTTACTTCTTCCACGTTCAGGCTTGCGGACTGTTTTCGGATTTGTGCGCTTTGACACTCGAATGGAGGCAAAAGAGCGGTAACCAACTATTGACCAATTTGTTCAGAAAAATTCGCGCTTCATTATATTTTGTCATATTTAAACTCAGGAGTTCGTCCGGAATTATTGACATTGTTGGGAAAGTTACCTGACAAGAATATTGTCGCAATTCTGAGATAGTGATAATCCGTCTCCAGGAGTTTCTTGTTGTGTTATTGAGTATATGTGCTGATTTAGAGACTATGCTGATACTTGATTTAGGAGAATTACTTTCCATTCAGAAATCTTTTTCCAAGATCATATAAGTGAATTGTCTTGCTATGAGAAACCCTGCTTGTGCTTATCATTGGACCCCAAGACCTGAAGAATATTTTTCTCCCATGAGACCCAGCTGGATGTGCAGGATAAGTCCGTGGACTCATCCCAGTGATATATCCCAAATAGTTGGAGCAATTTTCTTTATCTTCTACTATTATAAAGTTGCTTGCCGTCATCGGTTCGCACTTTTTTTAATTTTCCCTCCCCCCCCCCCCCCAAAACCGGTTTTTCCCCATCTCTGTTCATCCCTTCCTCTGCACCTACACACTTTCCCTTCCCAGTTGCCCCCTATGCCCACTGTCCTCCCTCCCCCACCCAGCCCCACAGAGGCTCTTCCCTGTTTTCCCGTTTCCGTTTTTTTTACTTTGCCAATTTCTACTGCATTCAATAATGCATCTAACTTACTTCTAAAAGCTTTATTCAAAGCGCCATGACGTCCCTAACATTTCCTTTTTTTAAATTTTCAATAATCTTTCAAGTTACAATGAAAAACGCAGAATGATTTTCCAAAACCATACAAAAATTGTGAAAAAAACATTTTGAGTTTTTTAATTGTTTCTTCATCAATTTTCATTAGTATGAAAATCCAAAAACAAGTAAAATCTCAGAACATCTATGCGCACAAAGTCCTGAAAATTTTTTAAAATTGAGCAGATATTAAAAACATCACAATGAGCTAAACTGAAAAAAACGGAATTTTTTGAAAATTTCGTTTCCCATTTAGTGGAATTTTGAAATTCGGCAAAAATCGAATTCTTGCTCAAAATCACTTTTTAAAAATGCATAAGAAGCACCATGATGTTAGCCATATGTTCCTGGTTTAAATTTTTAAAAAGGTTGAATATTGACTGAAGTATACTGCAAAATGTGGAAAGATTTTTCAAAACCATACGAAAATGGCAAACAAAATTTTAGTTTCTTAATTTTATTTTCATCCATTTCCATTATTATAAAGAGGCAAAAATACGCAAATTCCTGAAACATCCATGTGCACATAGTCCCACAAAATTTTTTCAATTGTGCAATTATTAAAAAAAGTACAATGAGGTAAACTTAAAAAATGGAATTTCCCAGTTTGCTAACTTTACAAATGTGGCAAAAATTCAATTCTTCATCAAAATTACTTTTCAAAACTTTATAAAAAGTGCCATGATGTTTTCCACATTTTCCTCTTTTAAATTTGGTAANTTGATCAATTTTTCTGTACTTTTTCACTCTGAAAACTTCCAAAACCATATAATTTCTCAGTGCATTCAATGCATTTTTTTAATTGAAATTGCTCAAATAAATAAAATTACAATCACATGAACTGAAAAACAGGGACATTTTTGAAAGTTTTGATTTTGGTCTTTCATCTTAAAATTGAAACATAAATATTTTTTCAAACAAACCATGGGATGAAACCAAACTCAGATGCCCTATTAATCCTGCAAAAGTGAGGGCAATTGTGGCTCCAGAAATACTTTACAATTTAGTGGAACACAAAACAAATGAAATTGTTTGCAATTTTTACATTCACATTTCAATATTTAAATGCACTAAATGGAAATACTTTCTATGAACTATAAACACAAGAATGAGTCAAATTTCAAGGCAAACAAACCTTGAAAAATGACAGCAATCCCAGTTTCAGAAATAATTTTAAAATTAAACTGAACTTGAAAACTTGGAAATGTTCAAAATGTTTAAATTTGTTTTCTATTTTTAAATAAAGCAGCTATGAATATTTCATTAAAACCAAACCACAGAAGGCACACAAACTTTCAAAATTTTCATATTTACTTTTCTATTTTCAAGTTCCACAATTATTAATTTTTAATGTCAAAAAATACAAATATAAGCCAGACTACAAGGCACACCAACCCCAAATAAGTGACAGCAATCAAAGTTTTGTAAATAAAATTACATTGAGTTCAACTAAAAAGTGGCAAACATACAAAACTTTATATTTTTGTTTACATTTTCAAATTAATTAATTATGCTTCATAAAAAAATGACTGTAGTCAGTCAAATTGTACGGGACACTAACCCTGGTTTAAAATAATTGTAACATTAAGTCAAGTGCATTTTCAAAATTATTACAAATTGTTTTGGTAACACTTTAATGACTAAGTTTGAATCCTTTTATACAAACTAAATGCAAGAGTATGCACAATTTTCTTGGATTTTTCTTGGCTAAATTTCCTCTTTTTACATGAGGCAATGAAACACAGAAATTTACTATAAGGTTTTTCTTTCTGAACACCTGGAATATCTTGAAAGGTTAAAAGATGCAAAAAATGTTCACAAAAATCAACAGAGAATTGCTTAAAGAAAGTGTTTACATCAGGGGACCTGCCCCATTCAATCAACATTCTATAGGGTTTTTCCTCCAAAATAAAGAACTGAGCTCCACTACTGAAGGTATACATTTTTGTGTGAATTTTCAAATCAAAGCAGGATGGATGTGTTAACATTTTTTTCAAGTTGATCCAGAATGGGTCTTGAAAGTGGTGAGAGTGTGACTGAGGGAAAGGCATCAACCCAGCCACACATTTTTTTATGTGTGAATTTTCAAATCAAAGCAGGATGGATGTGTTAAAATTTTTTTCAAGTTGATCCAGAATGGGTCTTGAAAGTGGTGAGAGTGTGACTGAGGGAAAGGCATCAACCCAGCCACACATTTTTTTTTATTGAGATTCAAGAGTGTAGGACTACTCTTTTCAGAGCAATATTTTCATATCCTACAAAATTTTACGAGTGATGCTCAGGCATGATTGGGCATTCCCAGATTTAGGTGTCCCCAAACATATTCATTACTCTCATTATGATTTTTCCTCCTCCTTATGAAATGTTGCAAATGATGACAACATGTGGGGCTGAAAAATTGCATCTGAACATCAGACTTGCTATGATCATGACACATTTTCAAAATCTACCAAAATTAATACTAACCTTTGCCCAGGTGTGGCTGGGCACCCCCAGCTTGTCTTCAATTATTAAAGCTCTTGGAGTACCTTAATCTCCAGGGTGATTTATTGTTTAAATTGTATGAAAGACCATACACTATTGCCTAGGCTTTTGTAAAAAAGAAAAATATGCTTCAGAAAAAGTTGCATATTATCTGTAGAGTTTCCCGTTGAATTTGATTTTTGTTCTTTGAATCTCAGTCAACTCCTTTTGGTTTCTAACAAGTGCAATGAACTGTATTTTTATGAAGTGGAAACGTGTTCACGAAATGGAAGCGGAATTTGTTTGCTCCAAGGTTTTTCTGAAATGACTGGTACCCCCGGACGTTATCCTAGTTGGAAGATTTGTCTAGTTTTTCTGGTACATTGGATGTGTTCTTCAAGGTGTCACCAAAAGAAATACCTTACAGTGTGTCCTGTGGCATGTGAATAATACTGCTCTCTGTATTCGCAATATCCGCTTAGCAACTTGCTGCCCCAAAGCAGACAAGGACACCGCATGTCCTAAATGCACTGTCTGGTTCCTGGTCATTTGCCTGGCTCCCTTTCTGTTGCCCCATTTTGGTTGTGCAAGCGCGTCTGGTTTATTCCAAATCTATAAAGGTACGGCGAAGTGTATGTGTCAGCATTTATTGCTGGTTTGACTCTTGTTTGCTGAGGCTCAGAGAAATATACTTTTTCACTCATCAGGAGAAGTCTAGATTCACTTTTACACTGGCTATAAAGACTTGAAATCTTCTCAACAAAAAGTTGTCCTGGAAAGTTTAGATTCTAGATTAATCGTTCAAGAAAGAAAGATGTTTCTTTCTACACGAAAGTGTCTTAGATTTATTCTTTCACCAATTTAGGATAACATAATTTGGCGCAGCCAAGTTTTCTTTACTACCCAGGGTGTGTGCTTGTAAAGCTAAAGCGCAAAAGCTAAAGTGAAAAAGCTAAGTGCAAAGAGGTAAAAAACATGCAAAAAGTTCATGTTGTTTCTGAAGAAAAAGTATGAAGCAAAAAGTGCTCCTGATTTCCCCAGGTGCTTACGAAAAGTGCCTTAGAAGACGGTATTGTGAAAAGTGAACTAGAGGTGAATGTAAAAGTAATTTTGCACTATGGCAACCTGGACTTTGGCAAACGT